CACACACACGAGACACACAACTAGACACACAGAGCTACACCAATATTCTCACACTCCCTTCACACACTCATGCATGGGCATAGCTTTATAAATATGAGAAATCTGAGTGCAAGTAGATAAGGTTATCCATGTCCCTGAATGTTTGTAGGGCCAAAGTATAATTTTCATTTCATTTTTATATGAGATCTCCGTACGTGTGAACTTTATAGATTATGTTTTATTGTTTTACACAAACTTGAGTGATTTATTACCTGTAAATGTTCATTATTATTTACTTGCTGGGGTGAAATCTTGGACCCAGTAAAGCGAGTGGGAGTTTTGTTACCAACAGCCAGGACTCCACCTGAACTTGCTAAGTTTCCAATGCCTTTTGTACTGTTGCAGCTAAATAAAATCTGTCTGACCCACTCACCATTTTATAGTTACATTTCCTTGATTACCCACCTCCCCTTTCCCAGGGTGCATGTGCTCCTGCTGGCAGGAGAAGGCATAAGATATACAATGGAATGCTGCAAGCTTAGGGAATGACCACTGCACATGTCTGGACTCAGAAGGGGTTTTTCTCTCATTTGCAGATGGAATGTAATGATTCCACCCAAAATCCCCATTATGGGGATAGCATTATTAGATACCTTTTCCCCATTCTCTCTGCTGCAGTGTTCCTTCAGATCCCATTTTTCTTCTAGGACATCTGAACATAGCTCCTCCTCCTCCTCCTCCAAAATATCTGAAAGGTCAGAGCTGCGGCTGTGCTCAGCAAGAATATTCAGCTGCCGTCTTCCTGCTTCAGACATTTTTTCTTCTTGCTATTTAAAAGAAAGAGAGTTTCCTCACTTATGGAGAATGCTGACAGCCCAACCAACATCACCAGGTCAGCATTCCAGAAAGCTGCATTTTATCCTGCTGTCTCTAAGCACATAAATCTAAGGAACAGCAGGAGATAAGAGTGCAGGATGGGAACAGAGTGCCTTTTCATGGGCAAAAACAATATATAGCAACTTACTGTTTTCTGACAGGGGAAGAATGGCATTCTTTCACTACACAGAACTCTGCATGTTGTACCTGCAACTTGGAGGTGTCAGAAACAATAGCCCTTTGGTAACACAAACCTCTCTCTTGACTCTGGGCACCGTCACAGAAGAGTCCCCTCTGGAGATTTCTTTCATCAGTTTCTTGCCAGGGGACATTCCTAGCAGCTCTTGAACATAGCTCCCACTCGCATCTAAGTCTCTGTAGCTGTCCTCCCCCAGCTTAGCTGAATTGCTGGAGAGTTGAGGCTCTGGACTCGAGCACTTCTCAGTTCCCTCTCTCCCTCTTTCAGTGGTTGATTCTTTCAACCACTCCTCTGCAAAACATGCCTGGCAGGTCTCCACAGGCACCTTCATGTTGCTGGTGTTGGTCTGGCTTTCCAGCTCAAGGTTTTTCATTACAAAGAGCTCCACCTGGGGAAAAAAAACCCCTCAATTATAAGGGTAAAAGACCCACTGTAGCTATGTAGGATTTCTTCCTCAGTGCAGGTTCTGGGGTCCACATTCCTGTCTTCACTTATGGCACCCAAGTCTTTTATTGGATTTACCCTTAGTCCTAGGTTTCCCACACAGTTCAACTGATGCCTCTCAGTTTTGACCCACAGTCCCCATCTCTTTCCTCTCTATACCTTAGTACACTCTCAGTGCAAGCTGCACCCCATGACTAATACTGTTGTGATTTCTGGGTATCAGATGGAACGGCATGAGATGAAAGGGCAGGAGGTCATTGTTAAACAAACTCTGGTTCTGTTTTAAATTGAAAACTGGACGCTGCTGCAGATGGTCCTGGAGCCCCTTTTTATTTACTGCTGGGGCTGAAGTTATACCAAAGGTGGATCCACCCACCACTTGGTTCTAGATAGCTCTGTTTCCAACTCTAAGACAAAAGCGGACAGCAAAGACAAAAACCAGACTGGCCTTATGGCAGACAAGAAGCTGGGATGAATGTAATGACATGTATTGGGATGGGCACCAGTGAGGAATCCTGAGACATGCATACCATAGCCACAGGAGAACAGTCCATACTCATGCAGATCCAGCCAACAGCTGAAGAGCTATGCTTGGTGGCAATGCAAGGAGCTGGGGGTAATGAGAGGACAGCAAAAATTCTCCACAGCTCTGTGGTTGGCACTCATCTGACTACAGCCAGGCTACTTCACTGGAACACCCACCCCTTCCTTCAAGGACCCCTATGACTCGCCTATCAACTGTCACTCCCACCTGTCCCAGCAGGACTGCAGCCTTCAAACTACCTGATGCCATGACCCACACTCCTTCCTCACTCCTCAATGACTACCTCCTTTGTATAGGTTTTGCCAACTACCTCCTGACTTTATGCTGTCCACCCCACCTTTAGCATAACTCACAGTGATAAACTGCACAGCAAGGAAAATCCTGCACTGGTCTGAGATGGGCAGGATGGCAAATGCTGTAGAAACAGCATTACCATCAATGCTGCTGCCTTTTCCAAATCTCCCTGGGGCAATGCTAGTGCTCTGCTAGTAGACATGCGTGCACGCAAGCAAATGAGTTATGAGGCTAATCTACCCTGTCCTGTGCACACACTACCGTAGCCAACAGTTTCCCATTGTTCTGCCAGCAGTGGAAGAATAACGATGTCAAACTCAGAAGCGAATCACCCGACAAGAAACACCACACTGGGGAGTTGTCCTCTGAAACCTCTCACTTCCCCAGAGAGGACTAGCTCTCTCCCTCCCCCTTCCCAGAGCCTGAGAACTCCCAGTTCTTTTTCAAAAAGAAGGCCAGATACTCACCATCACCTCTGCCTGGCTGTCTTCACCAGAGCCCTTCACTGCTGGGTTCCTGGACGCTACGAGTTCTTCTTCACTCATTCCTGCAGGGAACATGTTGCTGGCAGACTGTGGAAGGTCAGTCAGGCATTCCTCCTCTCTTGAGGCATCTGACATGGATGACAAGGTTCCTGTCACTTGCATTGAGGAAGCACTGGGAGAAGATGGGTGCAAGCATAGGGACATCTTTTCTGGCAGAGAATCTATTGAGCCTTCACAGCTGGAGGTGGTGTAGATGGTGAATTTTGCGTCAGTGGAAACCTTCTGTGGTGGGAAGGGTGGAGCTGTCTGATATGTCACTGGGGTTTGCACAGGCAGAGAGTACCTGGACTCTCCACAGAGGAGTTTGGAGGTAGAAGTGGTAGAAACAGCAGACTGTGGTGGTGAGCAGTGACTAGAAGCTTTCAGCAGAGTTGAGGAGATTTGGGCTGGCACTGAATCCACTGATTCTCCATAAACAGACATAGTTCTTACAGACACCTCCTGGCACACTTGGAACATCTGTAGCTGGGACAGGTCCACTAGGACACTCCCTGCTGTTGGAGAGGTGACTTCCATCACCTGCAAGACAATCAGGAAGAGTCTCTTTACTGTGCACAGGTAACATCATATAGAAGTGTCATCGTTTTCCAACTCCAATGCCCTTACACAGTCTTCCAAGGCTCACAGAAGTTAGGTGTCAGGAAGAACTGCAGGTCTCCAGCCACTGACCAGTAGAGATAAGGAAAGTCATGCTAGAGAGACAAGAGAATACAAGACCCCAGCATGGATCCAGTGGTCAAATTATCAGAGTGGTCCTGGCTGCAGCCTCACAAAGGGCTCCTTGAGCTGTCCACCAGGGCAAAGATCATGAGCCACTGTGGCTTGGGTGCAGGTGGCTGTGGGAAAACCCTGATGGCAAAACCAGAATAGAGAACATACTCTGACAAAGCTGGCACTGAGAGGGAATGAGCCTGTTTTTCTGGCAGGAATGATTAAAATGCTTCCTCTCTTGCCCAGAATTTGCTACCCAAGGTCACATGAAATGCTTGGATATTTTACCAGATATGTTCCCTCTTGCTCCCTCCTGTAGTCCTCAAATCAAATGCCAGCTCTTTTTGCTCCTGAAACTGGCACCACTCCCAACCATGCCAAATCTCTGCTGGTTCCCTCTCACAACCTGGCACATGGGTCCAAAGTCTTTGTGGCTTGAAACAAAGAAAAAGCATCTCCACAGCAAACTGTGCTGTAACCTGTTTTACACTGTGTTTTTAAATGATTGTGGTGTGCATCACACTAGACATGGCTGCATATTTCTATGGCTGATCCTGTGTACATGGGAAGTCACAAGTCAGTTTCGGTATACAACATTCCTGAGGATTCTTTGCAAGCAGTAGTACTAAATTTTGGAATATCTCACAACCCTTTCCTATTTCTATTTCAGATCCTACTCCACCTCTACGGCATGTGAGTGAATTAAGAGTGATCCTGTTCCACCTGCTCAAGTCCCTGAAAGTTCCTGCCTTGTTTTGCAACATGCATCTTCTTAGCCTGAAGACTGAGTCACAAAAAGCAGCAAGGAGGAAGACCCACCCATGTTTTGCATTTACTGTTTTTCAGGGACTCAAGCAGGGTGGAATAGGATCATACTAAACTATCTAAGTCCACTTCAGTAATAGGTGGAATAGGATTGGGCCACCGAATTCCTTTACTAAGGGTTTGAAAGCAATTAAATAAATAAATAAAGCCCTGAAATAAGTACTGGAGAGTATGGTCCTTCCTCCCACACCACAGAGCTGCCAGAAGGAGCTCCAGAGGTTCATACTGGCAGAGCTCCTGCTCAGGGTCATGCAGCAGCTGGTGGCAGGGTGTTCTCTCTAGCTTTAGAATTCCCTCTTCGTGTTCTCTGTAACAGCCCAGAGCTGCTGACCTTCAGGGCACACTGCAGAACTAATTTTTCCCCTGGGTTTTTGAAAATGGGGCAGAATTATAATGGCGCAGAATGGGGAAGCAGAAGGAAAAAAAGTAAACTCTTAATTGTCCTGTTTGGCTGGTGGGTATAATTGCCCCAGTTTAGTTATAATTGGAGGTTGTTTTCTTTCCAAGAAACGCCTTTTCTATTATATCTGCAGTGCCTGATGTACAAAGACAGACACCTTTTTCAGAGTACATCAGTCAGGATGAACAACAGAGATAAGGCCTGATCGCCACTTCTACTTATTCTAGTATCCATCAACATCCACTCCCACTCCTTTCACACAGCCTGCCCATGCTCTTACTGAGGATGCAGATGCTGCTGCTCTCCCCAGAGCTAATCCCTTTCAGAGACCCATGCAAACCACCTCAACTGGACCATTCTACTAGGCAACTCTAAATCTAGTAGACAAAGACAAAAGTGAAAGACATGTAACCTGCCCTCTCTACAAGGGAGTGGGATAGCTTAAAGATCTGGAGTTCATAAACCCCACTGCAGATGGATGATACACACTAACTATATTCCTGGAATATGCAATCACTTTGGTCTGAAACTCGGATTAGCTTGTCTGCAATGAGGTAACGCTAGAGACAATAACCCAGAAACACCTGATTTCTACCTTATGCCGACTATGGTGCGGCAAGCAGAGCTGTACCATGACATCACAGGTAACTCATCCAGTCACCACTCCTTCCCTCCAGTTCATCCACATGCTTCAGTCCTGTTGACTGAAATGAATCAGCAGATGATGCTGCAAATCAGGACTGCAGTGCTTGGGCAGAGCCAGGGCTCAGGACCAGAAGGGAAGACACTGCTCTTGATCAGGAACTAGAATGGCTGAGAAGGAGGAACAAAGCTGAAGACTGATATTGCATCCCCCTTCACACTGTGCCAGGTTCAGGCAAGATCGTTCAGCTCTGCCCAGTCAGAGTTCTGTCCATCATGCAGCACCAAATGGTCACTGCCAAGAACAGAGCTGAGTTAGGGTTACTGGAGGGAAGAAGCATAACTGGTTGAGCTGCCTTTGTTCTCATGTTGCCACTCTCTGTGCAGCAGCAGATGGACCTTACCAAGGAGACTCTGCTGATACAAAACTGATAAAACAAACAAACAAACAAACAAAAACAACCTTTCCCTTCCCCACCTCCCAAAAAAAAAAAAAGTCAAGAAGAGAGGCTGAGACCACTGAATAGTAAAGTACTGGCTTGGTGGCAGCAGCCTGGAAAATTACTACAGCCTCCAGAAATGAGTCCAGTAGCATAACTAGGGCAGTACAACCAGGGCAGCAGCCCCAGCCACTAAGCTGGGGACGGAGGGGTGGGGTGTGCAGAAAAATATCAAAAGCTACTACTGCCAAAAGTTTATGTTGCCCCCAAGCATACCACTGCTCCAGGAACCCAGCTGCTTCGTTATGCTTCTGACTGAGACGGTTAGTTCCATCACCTCTCATTCACCTACAGCTCAGCTTTCCTAAGCAACAAAATCTGCAACCCTCTCCATATGCCACCTTACCCCCTGATGAGCAGAATTATCTCCATGCACTGGAGGAAAAATAACTGAAGCACAGAAAGGGAGGGGGCTTGCCCAAGGCAAAGTACTAAGCCAGGAGGAGAACTTTGTTCCTTGGCACTGCGCTCGCATTTTATGTCCAGGATGCCTCAAGCAGCTATTAAATTCCATTCAAAATCCTAGTCAATTTTTAAGTTTTGGAAAAGCAAATAGCATCTGCCTCAGCAAAATGTTTAATTTCTGCTTGGCTCAGATAAAATCCTATCTGCCCAGGACACTGCAGACTAATGCTGTAGCTACATTATCCACCTGCTGGCAGGAATGTGCCTGAAAAGCTAAAAAGTGTCATCAGACGCTACATTTGCCACTGATTCATCAAACACACTACAATGACATACACAAAGAAAAAATCCTTCCATAGCTAATGGCCCATCTCTATGCTCTCTGGAGCAAAGAACTCAACCTTTTTTGGGTTTACACGTCATTACACAACAGGAGCCCCCTCTGTCCTAGCTGGGGTATCTGAGTTCTATGAGGATGGCGAAAGGAAACATAATACTCCATGTGCCATCACTGAGCCAGGCAGGGCCACTACCCACTCCTCACCTCTGGAGGCCATGCCTCTCCCACATTATCAAGCATTCAGGCTGCTGTCACATGCCCACATATATATGAATTTCCGCCTATGCAGTATCGGCAGGGTACCTTCCGTCCATCAGCGTACACCGCATAACCAGTAACTCGCACTCCATTTGATGACCCTTCTGCATCAATGGTAACAGGCAGCCAGCTGATAACCAGAATACTTGGTGAAGGACCAAGTTCCACCTGGACATCAAGGGGTGCATCAGGAATTCCTAGAAGAGATCAAAGGGAATTTCTTTTTTTTTTTCCATCAATAGGAACACAGTTGCCAGGCTAAATCCACCTAAGAATTTGACATAAGGTTCTCACACCAAAGCCTCCAAACAGAAATGCAAAGCAATGCAATGGTTTGTCGAGATACTTGGGAGGCACAAGACAAAACCAGAGCAGGAAAACATGATGCTTTTGCTCTGTGAACTTTCAAGAAGCAGAAATCAGGGTTTTGCAAATGGAGCCAAGGGTGAAGTGTAACGACCTGTGCAGCACAATGTATGCCTTTGATGGTGAATCACATCACCTGTCCCCTTGCGAAAGTACACTGCACACTTCAGCAAGGGTGGATGCCTGCTATTTCACCGAGAAATTTGCAATAAAAAAATCTAACTGATAAAAAAAATAAAATAAAAACTAGGGAAGACTGTTAAAGTGAAGAAACAAAACATTTTACACTATGGAATCCAGTGTAATCACCTAGCAAACTGCCCATCTTGCTTCCACTCCACCCCCAATACCTGCTAATGGAGTAGTGAAGTGTACCACTGCTGACTTCTGCTCATGCTTCTCCAGGGGCAACTCCCAGAGCATCTTTGGGGGCCGGGTCTCCACCTTGGCAACATACTGAGTGTTAGGGTGCAGGTTGTGGAAGGTGTACCAGTAGACACCTGGCTTTATTGTGTCGCACTCTTCCTCATTGAGGTACACAGCATGATTGTAGTTGCTGTTGCATGGAAGCCAGGTGACCTCTGCTGATGTGGCTGTGATGTTTCTGACTTTCAGCAGAGTGGGGGCTATGCAGAAATCTTGCCCTACGAAGAAAGTGCATCGCAGCCTATCAGAGCTGCCTTGTTCCGTCACACTCTGCACAGAGATCCGGTAGGCTTTTGTCTTTAAGTCCAGCTTCTCAACAATGGCTTTGGTCTGAGGGCCACTCTTCACATTCTGCCATAGCTCTGCATCCACATAAATATTGTAGCTTTGTATCTCTGGGTAGCCGGCTGGCAAAAGCGGTGGTTCCCAGCCTACAACAATACTTCTGGCAAGCTGTTTGATCAGAACCAACTTTCTTGGATAAGGCACTGCTGTGTGACTAACCGGCTCGTCCTGGTCTCCTTCTAGCCTACCGGGCAATGGGCTGACACTGGTTTCTTCAGCAGAATAATCACTTTTGTCTCCACTGCTGGTGCTTGTACTGACAAAACTCTTCTCATGGTATGAGCTATGAGTAAGATCATTTAGCTCGGGAGGCAGAAAGGTCATGAGGTCATCGTCTGAAACTCGTTCAACAAAATTTGAAGGGACCAGCCCTCTCCTGCCATCCATCAGCTCCCCTAAACAAGAAACAGGAAACCTGTTACCACACTCACCCTTCAGACTTTAAACCTGACCATGGAATTGGCAAAAGGCAGCAGCATCACTGCTGAAAGAACAGAAAAAGCCCTCTCAGGCCACATTAGCACAATGCTGACAGGGAGGTCTGCTCTGTCCCACAGGCCTTGGGACATTCCCTAGTGCACTCCCATATACTGCTAAATGTCTGCAGTAATGAGGCTCCACTGCTCCCCTTGGCACTACCTAGAAAGGTTTTTAGGTATTTCCCCTAGGCTCCCTTTTCTATATTTCATCCCACTGCTCCTAGTCACACCTCTAACTCTCTCACCACTTTCTTCGCCAGCCTTTCCAATCCATGCAGTTTCTCACCGCAGCCCCTTGGGTCATCTCTTAGCTCATGTAAGCAGTTTGTACTCTTCTGATCTTTCCTCATAAAAAAACTTGTCTCTCCAGTTCCCTGATCCTCTTTGTAGCTCTGTTCCGATGTCTCCCCAGCTTGCCTGTTGAATTCTGGAACAAAGGTACCCGGAAAGAAACCCAGGAAAAACACATGGTCTCCATGCTCTGTACTGAGGTGGCTACAGCACGAATCAGATGACTTGCGGGACCATGGCTGCTTGTAATTTGCTGATTCAAGTTCCAGTGACAAAAGAATCAACTGAAAATGTGAATAGCAGAAAAAGGGATAAAGAATGAGGTGAAAGCAGAAGCTAAAAAAAAAAAAAAACACCAAAAGCAGAACAAAATAAAGAACCAGGGTAGGCAAGAGGTCAGCAGGGCTATACTCACGTCTGCTTCCAAAAGGAATCTGAGTGACTTAGGAGTTCGGGTCGTATGAAATAAAACTTATGCTCCTATTCATTTTGAGATAGATCCAGAAAGAGATTTTGGCGCCCAACAGCAATACACAGGCACCACTGAGATCCCCACAACCCCTGCTCAGCTTCTGCCCAACTCTGTAGGCACCCGAGTTTTTGCCAGTAAAATCTCTTATGTGCCTAAGTTTCTGTGGATAAGTGTAGCACACAATCACCTCAGTCCTGATGCTTCTAAGCTGCTTGATGCTTAAGTCCTGACTGACTGGTTTCTGTGTTTATTTTAGGGAATCAGACACCCATAAACCTAGTTCAATTACTTGGGGGGTGAGATGAAATCTGGAGTACAGGAGGATTTGTAAGAGTTCATTAGACAATTATTGGTTCCTTTACATTGAAATACTCATTCAGTTGGCTTGCTTGAATGTGTTATAAACATAAAGCTGATGAAAAAATCATAGCCAAAGGGTAAGGATAAGGAAGAGTGTTGATACTTGTAGGACTTCAGGGGTGGTTGCACCTCCTTCAATTCCTCCTCCAATCCTGCCATCTACAGGAACTAAGGCTCTAATCCTGCAGAAACCAAGCTGCCTGGCCCTTCTTCCCAAGCCCAGCAGGCAGTCAACAGCACCTGCCAAGTCATCTAAGGGCCTGTTTCTGCTGGAGCTGAGCTGCTCAGTCCTTCTTCTCAAGTGCGTGGGTAGCCACCAGGTCTGGCCATGTCCTACTAGCTCCAGAGTCAAGAGCCTGATCCACACTGCACCCCTCCTTTTCAACATCCTAGATCCATTGTTAGAGAGCTTTAATGAGAAGTACAGGCATCAGCATTAGTGCCACCCTTATTTAGTACCCTCACTAATCATCTGGAAGAGATGGCCATTAGAATACTAATGAAATTCACAGATGATATTATGAATTATTAAGCAGAAAGCATGAAAAATATTACAACAGATAAAATATACAAAGGAACCAAGAAAGACCAAAAATCTGGGAAGAAAAAAAACAGCTAATCCAGATAAGGAAAAATAATCCAAAGCACAAATATGAAGGATCTAGAGAAGGGAGAGATGCTTCGTTTCCCAGAGTGCTGTCCAAGATCTTGGGAGTCATCTGTTCAATTCCCTGCTCTTCAAATGATATTTATGTGCCTAAAACTGGAAGGTAAGTGGCTATGAGAGTCTTCAGAAGTGTCTAGGTTCGTAACTCCCACAGATTTTGAAGTTTCTACTAGATGCCCTTCTGCATCTTTAGGCACTTAAGTATCTGTAAAGATAGGGATTGTTGCTACTCTCTGCCTCAGCACTGTGTCTTCTTTCCTGGCAAAGCAAGTTCGTAAATGGTTACAGAACATGTCAAATACCAATGAGAGAAGAGCTACTTAATGCAGCGCTCTAGGTCCAGGGTATGCCTAGTGTATTAGGAGATACTTGTCAAGAACTAATACAAGGCAATGCCTCAAGCCCTTGCCATTTTCTGGGAAATATCTGGTACTTATGGCTAAGGAATCAGAAATAGTTCAGGTGGTACACCACAGATGTCAAAACCTGGCTGTCCTCAAATTGATGGAAAAATAAATTCCCATTGACTTTCCCTGAATCTCGATTTCACCTTCCGGATTGAACTGACCCTAGTATACAGGTGCATCTTTATAAAAGTTATGGGAGCAGTGCTTGCTAATTTTGGCCTTATGACCTTTTATTTCCTAGTAACTGCAAATTCGTCAAATTCCTCCCTCTATTCTTAACGATGTCAAGTTTTTACAGCTTCCTAGTTAAGTCTCATCTTATCAAACACACCTTCAAAGAAGCCATCTTCATCCATGTCCCCATAGATGTAAATATACTCTCCAGCAGTCAGAGGGAGCTCTGCCTCTGGGTTTTCATTAGGTCCATCGAAAGGATTATAGCTGAAAGAGTTGCAACCATAATGTTTATTTTGCATACCAGCTTCCACATCAAAACATCCAAGCAGTCACACTAGACCTGTACATTGGTCCACTGAGGCTGGTCTCCTGCTTCTAGACATGTCGCAGAGGAATATCAAAGTCATTGCTCATATTTAAAGCTAAATCTCTAACGTGTGTTGTTGGAGTGGAATCTGTGTTCACTTTCACAAAGGAGATGTTTTAGTGGAAGTTTGAGTGAAGTGCTTGGAAACACAAGCATTTACAAAACAATTTTTGAAAACCTGATGCAAGTATGTAATTATTTTTCTGAATTATAATGTAAAATACTAAAATGGGGGACTTCTAACTGAACTTTGGTCTCAA